TATATATATGTAAATAATAACAAAAATGCTTGAAAAATGCTTATTTACAACTTGGTAAAATTTTCTTAGCAACAAAGCCTTCAGTTTATGAATGTCTGTTTAATAACAAAGTTTAGTTACTTGTCACTTCCTTCATCCATATTTTCCTAAAGTAGATCAATTCAATTAAAAAAAATAACAAAAACTTTATTAATCTCAAAGGGAAATTAAATGTTGTTGTAGCTCATCATCCTGGTTTCATTAAGAGTTGTTATATTCAGTATGCTGATGGCTGTGGGCAGGAAGGATCTGCAGCAGTCTGTACCACAGTGGATCTAAAGAATCTGGATACAGATGCTGATCTGTCCACCCGGATTCTGGTCTTCTTCTTGTTATGAGCCACGTTTCCTGCCAGCTCCAAGAATATCAGCAGTCAGTCACTCGAGCACCTCTGCTACATAGACGGAGATGCATCCACGGTGCCTCCTTTACAACTCATTTGGAATTTGGGGCTGTATTTGAGGTACTATTTGAGCTTTGAGATGTTAATCAGCTGCTCCCGGTTGTAAAAACCACCTTATTTTCATGGTTACGCTTCACAACAAAGATCAGGTGGGATGGTGAATGCATGCGTGAACAGTTTTGTTTCTCTCATTAACACAAATTTAGATTTTAAGGAGAAAAATGGCTCTTTTGTTGGCCACCTAATATTTGTGTGTTATTTCTGCATTTATTTGGCTTTAACTTTATGTTTCTGATCATTAAATACATATTATTTTCCTTATCTAAATTAAAAATCATACCCAAATGCAGTTTGCTAAAAAAAAAAAAAAAAACACTTCTAATTTCACTTGGAAAAGAAAGAAAATTGACTATTTGAGTTAGCGTGTATGTAAGCCAGCGAACAACGAAATCCATGTACTGCTGAAATTATAAATCAAACTGTGGAGGAGGTCAAGGTTAGGAATTCACCCAAGGCAACACATTTTCTGTGGAAGATTTTACAACTGGGAAAAACTAACAGAATATTTAGAAACATGATTAACAATATGAGAGGAACATAATGTTCCTGGAAATTTACTTTACTCGCACACAAGATGATTTGTTAAAATGCCTGTTTGGATATAGAAATGAATACATAATGGCATGAACGTATTTTCTTTCTTTATCTTATTGTACCACACCTATTTATCTTCAGCATGACATTAAATTTAAAATAATAAAATTTGACCAAATGAACATTTTTTTTCAGTCCTGCTAGGAAACAGCAGTTTCCTTGTCAGTGCATTGTAATTAGTGCACTGAGCAAAGTCGCATCAAATGACAAAATGAGAAAATTGTTTTAAAAACACCTCTGAAGTCAATGTAATGCAGCACAGATGCATCCGTTTTAAGGCGCCACAAGAAAATGTAAATTAGGAGAGACCAGTTGGTCGGAATAAAAACAACCAACAGAAAGTCGACATCAGTAAAGCCAAAGGCGACGCTTTGAAATGAAAGAGCATGCTGATAACACTGACAGGCTATTTTCATATTTTGACAGCAGTGTGCGTTTCCATTCAGACAGATTTTCATAATATGCAAAAATATAGGTGGTAAAACAGTCTTCACACAGTGCTTTGATCATATAACACAATGCACCTCTTTACAAAAAATACATACACTAGGTGCTGGAAAAACTGCAGCTTACATATACCAGACTTTCAAGGACTTTGAAAACATTACACAGAAATTCAGAATTATTACAGTCATTCCTTTATAAGAAATTGTAGCTATTCAAACCACACGTGGCTTCTAACGAACTTCTCTTTAAAGGATTTGAACTAACCTGCTGTCTCTTTTCTATCTCAAGCTTCATCCTCATGCTCAAACACCTCAGAGTATCTTGGAAGGTCTGCTTCAGTGTTTTCTCCATGAGGACCTTATGAAAGGCTCCCACGGCGCAGCCACATAGAAACAGCACTGCGTTGGACAGCAGCTAGGAAGAAACACAAGAGATGTTACAGCTGAAACCTGAAGCACCTGGTCTACACTCTTGGTAGGGCTGTCACCATAAATTTTGCTAGGCGATTAATTGTCTCAAAAATTATTGCGATAAACGATAATATTGTTTGAAATTTAAGAAGGGATTATGGTAATTTGTTTTGTGTGTAGCACCTTTTTTTGACCACTAGATGACAGCATAAGACTGAACCGAAAGATGGATAGTGAGGGAGTGAGCAGCGTGTCTCTTTAAGAAAATGGGAGGGAGGCCCCTTGACGTGACATGGGCTGTCTATCCTTCCTGTTTTTTGGTTGTCAAAATGGCAGACGCTCAGTGTGGTTTGAGCTCTTTAGCAAAGCATTTGCCACACAAAGCTTTTAATAAATAAAAAAAATCTGTAAACAACTTCTCAGCTGCTTTTTGCAGAGAAAAACAACTTTTTAGAAGGCACGAGTTTCAACCGTGAATTTTGGAGCTTTGACAAGACGGAGGTTTTTTTCCCCGAGGTCGGCCTGTTAGCTTAGCTCGTAGCACAGCTTCTCAGCTTAGCTGCTTTTCACGATCCAAAAACATGATTTTGGACGGTTAAAACAGATTTTAAAGAGAAAGGAAAGAATCAGTGAGGAGCACCAGAGTTGAGCCTTTTAGTCATCCTGTGCTTCAGTAGAAAGAGGGACGCGAAGAAACGATAAAGCAGATAAATGAAAATGAGGTTGATGATTTTCATTTATCATGCAATTAATTGATTTATTGTTTATTGCGACATGTCTAACTGTTGGGAGTTATTTGGTGCCTAAAAAAAACTACAGTATACAAAGTTTCCAATGAGACACGCAACATAAATGTGTCAATATCTTTTTTTTTTTTGGTTGTCTTTGTGTTTTTTCGTTTTTCGTTTATTTCCTGTGTTGTGTCCCTCTGAGTTTCTCTGTCATCAGTCCCTTTTTTCCCGCTTTTTTTCCACAGGAGCTCCTGCTACTCAGTCCTGCTGTCATGGAAAAAAGGAGATTCCCAGAACAGACCAAGGTGTAGTTCATCCAATTTATTTACAAAGCTTTGGAGAGCAGTCCAACATTCACAGAACATGCAATTACAAGATTACACTGTTACCAGTGCTCTCATTCATGTGAAACCCTGACCTGCTCTAACTCTCTGGACCGGACAAGTTAGTTTTATAGAATAATCTTCCTGTCCGTGCCCTCAGCCCCGCCCCCTCCATGTCTGAGCTGTCATCCAAGGGTCTGCTGCAGGCACAAAGGAGTGGAATCTGAGTCAAGGACTCTGTTGAAAACATGTCACAATATCATATCAATATCATATCAATCATCCCTTGAGGATATCAAAACAACCAGTTCTTTCTGTTCCTCACTAACTGGTCACAGTAAAAACAATTACAGTACATGGGACCGTTTATCATTTACAACCAGTCAGTGAATAGAACAAAGTATAATGTCTATATCTCCTTTGATTAAGTAGAAACAGATTACACATGATGAATGCATGAAATACACACTTTTCTCAACACTGCCACGCCCACTCACACCTGTTCCCTGTCTCATTATGCTCATCTGTCTCTCATCTCATCGTTAGCCTCAGTTCATTTATGCCCTCTATTGTCTTTTACCAGTTTGCCATTGTGTCTTCTTACACAATGTCTAGTTCTCCTCAGTAGTTTGACTGTAAGTAGATTACTGCAATACAAGCCTTTTATTTTTTGATTTATGAAGTTTTTAAGTTTTATTCAACGCCAGTTGTTTGTGGTTAAGTTTGTATTTCCTGGGTTCTGACCATCTGAACCTGATATTACAAATGTCCGTGGCTCTGATAAAAAATAAGAACTTTGTCAGTAGCTGCATTTTTATGTTATTTTTTGTTTATACGTCTGGCAATATTGATTTATCTAAATTGTACATTGAAGTTTGTTTTTTTTAACTCTGCCATCTGAAGTGTTTAGTGTTTCTGACTTCATCAACCACCTCTGTAGGAGGAGGGACATAACTGTCCTTATTAATAATAAGGACATAATTTTGTTTTGCTCAAACATTTCTCAAAAAAAAAAAAAAGCCATGTCAGCAGTGCAGAAGTATTAAGAAAGCTGTGGCACAGCTCTTGTTTAAATGCTTTTACCTGATAGGCTAAGTCACGGTCAGGGTCTGACTTATTCCTGTAAACTGTTAGTCGCAGTGTGAGGGCCAGAATGTGGGACAGGGAGGAGATGACACTCAGCCCCACAGCGTGCCACAGCTGGAATGGCAGCATGGTGTAGACTGTGAAGATGATAAAAAGGAAGAAAGGCACCTGCAATCATAAAGGAAACGTCTTGTTACTTTATAAACAACTATTATTCATATTCACAGATAAGATATTTAAAAATACTAAATATGAATAAATGACCACATCTTAATTGTATCTGTATAAAATGTAGCTGTTACTGATGATCAAAGAGTCAAATGGTGAAATGTGAGCCACCTGGTCCCAGGCCACGATGATATGACTGCTGAATATGAAGGTGTAGCCCAAGGTGAGATGCGTGACCCAGATGATCAGGCCAAGCAAAAGCCTCCATCGTTGTGCGAGTATCTCCGTACACACCAGCACAAACACAGCCAGGAACACACACAGGCTGCCGCTCACCACGCTTACGAAGGTATAATGATCCTCAGCCCTCTGTAACGGCAGCAAAAGGAAGAAACAAGCACTTTTTTTTTACCATCTTCAAGCAGTTTTCTGTGTTTGACTTATGACTTGTGTTAAGAAAAGTTGTACAAGCCAGTGTTAACTGGCAAGTTTTTTAAGCTGAAAAAAAAAAAAAGTTATATCGTCAATAAACAAACATCCACAAGTCAGTCTCAAAGAACCTGTTGAATTTAGTTCATAGCCTTTAAAGGGTTTTAACCATTTTGTCCTGCCTATTCACTATATAAAAAATAATATATTTTATTAATTTCCCAATTTACCATATTTCTAATACAGTAGTCCCTCGCTACTTTGCGGTTCGTTTTTTCGCAGACTCGCTCTATTGCAGTTTTTCAAAGTAAGATTGGACATGATACACAATGGCTGAATGAGCCACATGACTGGCATATATTTTTTTTATTTTTTTAAAGAAATTATTTTAAATAATTTAGCACCTGTGTGCAACCCACAGCTTTAGGAGAATATTCCTCCTGCAGCTGATCTGCTGATTTCTGCTCTGCACGGAGATCAGCTGATCGTGCAGATTGGAGAAGTGGGTGTGGCCAAGAGTGCAGCCGGAGGCAGAGAGCTGAAATCATGACATGCTGTGCTCTTTTAGAACTTTTAGAGTTTAAAACCATTGTTTAGAATATTGCAAGAGTGCGGGATGGGTTTAAAACACCTTTATATATATATATATAATATATATATATATATATATGTATATATATATATATATATATATATATATATATATATATATATACTACTTCCTACTTGCATTATATTCCTACTTTGTGGTTTTTCACTTATCGCAGCGCTTCAGGGTACGGATCCCCCACAATAAACGATGGACTACTGTATAGCTATTGTGGATTCAGAATCAAGAATGTACAAGAAAGAAAAAAGGCTGGACTTTTTCTATAAATGTGTATAAAAAGTGCTGCTGTCAGTCATCATGTTAGAATGAATATCTGTTTGTGCATTCTCAAGGCACTTTATAAGACACATTAAGTGTTTCACATAATGTGAAAACATCCAGGCATTAAGTGGAAGCAGGAGTAGGAGTTGGGAGGGTGAACATGAGTGGAAAATAAGGGGTTAAAAGACTGCTTAAGAGTGAGGCACATGCACAAAGTCGGTGTTAATAGATCTTCATGTGGAGAAGGCCATGCTGCATTTTATGTTGAGCTTTCTGGTTACCATGGCAGCACTGGAAAAGGCCAGCTCTCTACTAAACCCTTTTCACCTTCATGTGTCTTATTGAAACAGCAGAGAAAAGGAAATTATCCTATTTAAGAAGAAAATAAAACCCCATAAACACACACAGCTAATAGTTTTAACACAAAGCATTTGAGGAATAACATAAATATTTAACAACAGTTGTAATGACTAACAATTTCACAATTTCAATCTTATTTTTTGACAGACTACAGTTAAATGTGTGTAGATGGTAAAAGTGATATTTTTGTGAAACTAAAGACTCTAGTCTGGATCTACAACTGGTGATATAACATGTACTTTAAGGGTCTGTTTGCCTAGTTTTCCTCTCAACAGTGTACATTTTGTGGACCCGGACTTCTCAACACTTGGACACCATTGTGCCCGTCTTTTGCATTTAACAACATTATTAGATGAGCTCTATTTCAGCATTTTCCCTCTCAACACGTCTGCACCCCTGGAAACACACTACACCGACGTGCTCCTCTGGATGCAGGAGATTCATCTAAAAAGATGATATCTTGTATGTTGATATAAACCATTGTCACCCCAGGTCTTACAGGGTCAAACAGACAATAAAGAAGTTGGACAGAAAAATGAGAGTGCACATGCACGAGGCAGAAAATTACAGCATGCGTACACGCAGTACAGAGAAGTGTTTACATAGGGAATGAATCTTTTGTCTAGGACTGAAACAAGAGAAAAGGGAGTGTGCTACAAAGGTAGCAGCAGCAACACAATAGAAGGAAGGTTATTTTTTTCTAAAAGAGGAAAGTAATAATCTATGCTGACAAAAGATGTCACTGAACTGAACCGCTGCTTGTTATTGTGCCAACATCAACAGCGTGCTCCCATCAGAATAAGTCAGAAGCACGATTACTTTCTCTACCCTCAGAGCTACACTTTTCATGGTTCCATTTACGTAACTCCTATTATTTTGGTTCCACCTGCTTCCCTAACTACTGTATCACCTGTAATACCATTATCTTTGACTATCATATGCTTTGCATGCACACATTTCAGTTGTCATCTTATACAATCTAAACAAAAGAAAATTAAACAAGTTTAGCCTTATTTCATGCACATTTTAATAATGCATTTCACTTCTTTTGGACAGTTATGCAATGAATCACTCACGCACTATACTCAGCAGTTTCAGTGCTAGTGAAGGGGATTTGAGAGCTTATTTAAGTGGTTGTGGAGCTAAAACATTTTTAAAGTCAACCAAGAGATCCACAGTAACCATCCAAACAGTATAATGCTTCCCATGTTTAACAGCAGTAACACAATAGAAGGAACTAACACCAACAAAGTCAGTTTCAGCACCATGAAGTTATGGAAAATGGTGCAAGTCTGTAAAACTACATTCTGTGCTATAAAAATGTCAATGCAATAAATCAGGTAGGGATGCATGATATTATCGGCATGGTATCGGCAGATATTAGCATTAAAGTTCAATATCGGACATCGGCCATTCCATCAAAATAACTCACAGATATAAAAGACGTTTTTGTATGACAACCAGTGACAAAGATGCCTGCAGCGCCAGCACAACATGATGACGTCACGCGCCTACATGATCTCACGGCGGAGAGGAAAATTCAAAATATCGGCGGTGTGGAATTTGTTTTCCGTTTAGGATGTTGGATTCCCAAGATTTATGGACTACGTTGAGTCGCGTTACATCGTCCCAAGTTTGAGATATTTTTCCGACGTAGCTTTACCCGAGTTACAAGCAGTCATTTCCAACGTCATTGAGAAGCTAATAGCTGATATCACTTGGGTGAGTTTTACCACAGACATTTGGACGTTGTGTTAGCCTCGTTAACATGATTAGTCTTACGGCACAATGGATAGACAAAACTTTGAACTTAAAAAGGCTGTCCTTCATGCACAAGAGTGCAGAGGATCCCACACTGCAGCTAGGAACCCAGATCAAGCCTCCACAAGTGAGACAGCATCACAGGTGACTAATGCTAATAAATAATATTTAACACTTTTCATTTAATATAAGTCAAAGTGCTATGCATATCTTATGGCTGTTAGTGAATATATGTCACCAGCTCTTACAGATGTTGCACAATTTTTGTAGCAAATAAGCCTAAATAAGAGGGCTATGTTCTGACAAAGGAAAGTATACATAAAAATATTGGCATCTGTATCGGTTATTGGCCAAACAAGTTTTAACATATCGGCATATCGAATATCGGCCAAACATGCAATATCGTGCATCCCTAAAATCAGGTAATGTGCAAAAAGACTTGTGGAAGAGAGACATTGGTATAAGAAGAAGTTGATAGTTATGTGTCACGCCTGCACCAAATATTAAAAATATACTGTCATCATATTGGTGAGTGCAGTATCAATATCACAAAGGACTGCTTGGACTATCTCCTGAGAAGGTGCTACTTAAGAGACTGAGCTGAAAACAGCACCTCAGACTGAAGAAGTCTCTTGGATGAGAGAAGAAACGTTTCTATATTTTTTTTGCTTTGTTTTTTTTTTTTTTTTTGAATGTCCAGAGGACCAGATTGAACTTTTTTGGATACATTCTCTCAGTTTAAACTTTTGATCTGTGATTTGTGTTCTATTCTGAATAAAATATTAGATGTTGGAACCTCCACATCATCGCATTCAGATTTTATTTACAATTTGCTTAGTGTCCCAACTTTTTTGGAATCCGGTTTGTATATTTGATAAAGGTTTAAGAAAACAAACTTCTGTTCTGTAATAGAAGATGGTGAGCCTCTCGTCCAGTTTAAAACGTGGAACGCCACACTCCCCATTTCTTCACGGGGAAAGCGAAACGTCTTCTATTACAGAATTTAAGTCTTTTTTTTTTTTACACTTTATAGTTCGCCAGTGAATAATACATAAATTAACTTAAGACTATCTGAAACCAAAACAGCTGACTTCATAACTTTATCTCAACTGAGGAAGAGCAGCTAAATTTGAATTGTGTTTTCCTATTTAAGTTACTTTAGTGTTGAAGTATTGTGTGTTAGATTTTCTTATCAAACACAATCAAATCCATTAGAAAGTAAAGCATGAACATTCAAACTAGTTGCAGTCTAACTTGATTACAAGGACAATCAGTAAATATATTGAAAAAATATTTCTTCCAGAAAACCATTAATGGACAGCACAATCTCAACACTTATGTTGATGACGCCTCAGATTTTTTAAGTCATTAGTTTGGAGCTCATCAAACTAAAGTCTGAATTAAGAAACATTTTCAAGAATCAAACAGAAGTCCAGCTGCCTTCATTTGAACCTTCTAGGATTAAGGTTGTAATTTCTTACAACACACTTGGAAATCAGCAGAAAGACTGAATGGACATGCTTTAAAAATAACCTATTATAAATTCAGACTAGTGTTATAAAATGTTAATAAAGTATAATTGAAACATAAGATGCTTCTGGGGCTGTATTGTAGAGCAGTGCATACCCAAAACACTACACATGCAGAACTAGAGAACATTACATCTCTCAGGTCATCTTTGAGGTCTATAAAATCTGAACAATGGAAGAAATAAACCATCCCCTTATTTAGAGAAGTGGTTGTGACAATGTTTTGATAACCGAGTTCATCTGCCTTTGTGCACGACAAATGAAAACAAGCTTAGATGACTAAATCTGAGTCATTTACATGACATAAACATTGATCTATTCATTTTCTTTAACTGTTATTTCCTTATGGTGTGCAGGGGAGCTGGCGCACATCTCCAGCAGCCATAATATGAGAGGAGGGGGACAACCTGGACAGGTCACAAGTCCATCACAGGGCCACAGAAACAAATGAGACAACCACTCTCACACTCATTCACACCTAGGACATCTCGGAGTTACTAATTAAACTAACATGAACGCTTTAATCTATGGTTGGGAACGGGAGAAAACAAGCATGCCCTAGGACTGGGGTCTGCAACCTGCGGCTCTGGAGCCACATGGCCCCTCTGCAGCGGCTCCAAGTTTTGACCACAACTAACATAAAACTGAAGTTTATTGGTTGTTGCACCAACAAGAAATGGCTAGTTTTAGCAGTTTTCCGATCATTTCTTTTGCCAATATGTGAATGATAGTACTAACACAAGGAGTAAAACTAGTTGACTACGTCATGCTAGCAGTTTGTTAGCCACCTCTTTTAGCTCACTTCCAGTCTTACGGTGTGAACATTTTCTCAAATCCACCAAATGTTTTCAGGCAAGTTGCTGAGAAGAAATAGGGTGAGTCAGCTTGATAATAAAAAAAAACAAAGCCAAAGTAAATGGAAGTATTTATATTCATTTTAAAATTCAAATATTTATTTTAATTTTAAAATTCAATTACACATCCGACAAACTGGCCTCATTTTTAACTTTATTACTTCATAAGGATACTTTATGAACCGTTTTCACAATTAAATATAAAACTCACAA